GTGCTTACTGACTTCAGTTCCTTGCTCAAACATTTGTTTTCATGACCAGACACCTTTGGAGTCCCATGCACTCTAGCCAGATTGGCTGGATCCCAGGGTGATGGGGTCAAGAGAAGTGCACCCCCATGGCTGGATGCTGCCTGAAGGCAGTGGGGTTCTCTCCAGGCAGCAGGCTGAAGAAACCTGGGGTCAGAGAATTCACACCTCTCAGGGTATATGGGGATTTTTTCAGGAATTTTCCATTAAAAGGAACTAAGAACGAAGTGCCTGCACACAGTGTACAATAGCCATGCCACTGCCCAGGAGATGAGATGAGTTAATCCTGAATCTAGGGATGTGGACAGAGCCTTGTGCACCAAATGTCTATAACAGCAGATGAAAGGATAAACACAATTGTGGTCTGCCCACACAATGGAGTATTTCTCAACTATGAAGAGAAATTAAGCTCTAATCCATGCTACAACACAGATGAACCTGGAAAAACATCATGTTGCGTGAAAGACACCAGAAATAAAAGGTCATGCACATAGTGTGTACTTCTGTTGATGTGTGATGTCTAGTGTTGGCAAATCCATGAAGAACCAAAGGAGATTAGTGGTTGTCTAGAGCTTAGGAGAAGGGGGAGACTGCTAGTGGGTGTGGACTTTGCTTTTTGGGGTGATTAGAGTGTTCTAAGTTTGATAGTAGTGATGCTTGTGAAACTTTGTGAGCAAAATAAAGACCAGTGAGTGATGCACTTTCTTTTTTTGTACATTTTTAAATTGTGATTTTAAACAAAATTTTACAGAAAAGTTGAATTTTCATTTATTTATTCATTATTGCACATTTCGCTCTCTCTAACTTCCTTCTCCCTCCCAAGTACATTTTCTTTTTTTAAAAAAAATCATTCATCGTTCCACAATTTCCTCCCTCCACCCCTTCTTCCCTTTCCCCACACCCAGTCCTCTCTGCAAGATACCTCTTATTCTGTATGGTTGTCTTAGATATAAGGCCTAATCATATATTCCTTTAATCATATATTCTCTCCCTCATCTGTTCCAATACAGGGTTCCTTGTCTATTCTCTTTTTTCCTGTTCTTCTTCCAACCTCACATGTCAGTCCTGCTTCATAACAGTGGTGTTAAGCAGTATTTATCCTGAGTCACGCAGTTTAAAAAGTTAATTTCATGACACGTGATTTATTTCTCAGCTAAGGTATTACTACCAGTAACAAACACAAAAGGAAACATGCTGAGAAAAAGAAGTCAGTTATGAAAGGCTGAATACTGTACAATTAATCCCTCCCCGACCCCTGCTCCTGCTCCCAGCCCCTGACAACCACTGATCGGCTTTCTGTCTCTATGGATTTGCCTGTCCTGAATATTTCATAGCAATGGAATAATACACACAACACTTAGTATTTTGTGCCTGATTTCTCTCCCTGAGCATAATGTTTTTGAGGTTCTTTGACATTGTAGAAAGACCCAATGTCTCGTTTCTTTTAAAGACTAAGAAATGTTCCAGGATGGATCACATTGTGTTTATCCATTCATTTGTTGATCTTTTCATTGTTTCAGCTAAAAACAATTGCTGCAGTGAATGTTGGTGTCTTATTTGTCTGGGGCTGCTGTAACTCAAGTCTAATGAATGGGTATTTTCAAAGAACAGAAATTCATTGTCTCAGAGCTCTGGAGACTGAAAATCCAATCAGAGCAGGTCTGATTCCTGTCTTGTAGGGGACACTGATTGTCTACAGTGTTGCCTTCTGTGGCAGCACTAATTCCTACCCATTTAGTTTTGGGTGTTTCTTGGTTCCTTGTCTTGTTGATGACCCTCTTATGCTGTCTGCCTCCTCTGGTGTGAGTGTGCCTCTATATTAATCTGCTTCCCCACCCCCCACAGCTCAAAAGTCATTAGCTTTAGAAGTCACCCCACTCTGGTGTGATACCAACAGATTGGTTGGTTTGATTGCCTTATGGACCATTATCTGCTCTGCTGAAGGATAGATGATTCTGAAGCCCTTGAGTAAAGCAGTTAAGCACTTGGCTACAAGCTGAAAGGTGGATGGTTCAAACCTGCTATGTTTTGCCCATATGTTTCTGAAAGATAACAACCTTGAAAATCCCATAGAGCAGTCCTACTAGGACACTCATGGGGTCATCATTGATTAGAATCAACTCAATGTGGAATCAAAGGAGGATACTTCAAAGATTCAGATCCTCCCAGAAGAGCCATGGGTGAGCATTAACATTACTGGTAAGTATATTCATTTTCTCCTGGACACAAGAGCCTATTATTTGGTGCTAAAAGCCTTCTGAGGTCCCAACTATTCTCACTATTTCTTAGTTGTTGGAGTTGACGGAAAACCTCATAAATAGTTCCTTACTTCAGCTCTGCCTTGCAAGCAGACTTCCAAGCTGTAAAACAACTCAGCGGTAGATGGAATTTGATCCACGACTTAAGAACAAGAAATGACATAGTTGAGCCTCTACATCTTGTGGTTCCTAACCTTTAAATTATAATAGACAAAGTGCTAGTAAATAAGCTTTTTATTTTAAGAACTACCTTCCCCCCACGCCAAAGAAAGAACTACCTTCCCTCCATATCTTGATTTGTGCCACTGTTATAAACACTACTTGGAATATTACTGCTTTTAACTTTTGACCCATGTACTTTTAACTTGTTAGTTAAATTTGTGTCTTCTGGCTGCAACAGTTCCATGATGCATCTTCAAGGATATGAACATGTGTGCAAAAGCACAATTGATAACAGTGCATCTAAATTCCAAAAATAAATTTTTACAATTGTTGTTGTTGTTGTGATGTGCAGTCAAGTCACTTGCAACTCATAGTAACCCTATGCACTATGTACTGCCCATATGCATATGTATGCGAGCGCCCATGTCGAGGTAGCACTGGGTGACAGCTCCTCTTGTGGTCAGGTCCCGGTATTCCCGGTACATGTTGTGGGTCCCACTGTGGGAGTTGCAGCACAGCCAGATGTCAAAGTTCTTCACACCCAAGGGGGACTTCTTGAACACTTGTCCACAGTATACAATTTCCCCAGAAGACTTCTTCATCTTCTTCAGCTGTGACACAAAGTACCAGAAGCGGGTCTTGGCAACAACATGGTTGGGGGAGGAGATGCACATGCGGTAAAGTGGTGGAGTCCAACATTTGGGGGTGGGCAGGTAGAGCCCCACTACCTTGTACTCATGAAGTGTTCCCGAAGCCTTCATAGCGATCTTTCGGCGATCGTCACGACCCACAAAAGGCTCTCCAAAGTCTTGAAGAGCAATGCTATCAGTTTAAAGACTAAGGTATGCATGATTCAAGCCTTGGTTTTCAATCACTTTCTATGCATCTGAGAGCTGGACAATGAATAAGAATGACAGACAAAAGTTGATCCCTTTGAACATCAACTGTGGTGTTGAAAAAGAGTAGTGAATACTCATGGACTGCAAAAAGAACAAATATATTTTGGAAGAAGGTGAAATCAGAGGGCTTCTTTGAGTCAAGGATCATGAAGCTTCATCTTACACATTTTGGGCATGTTGTTAGGATAGTCTATTCTTTGGAAGGGGACATCATGCTTGTAAAAGTGGATGATCAGAAAAGCAAAGGAAGACCCTCGGTGAGATGGATTGATGCAGTGATTATGGCAATGAACTCAAGTGTGTTGGGGCTGGTAAGGATCGCACAGGATAGGACAAGGTTTGGATCTGTTGTTTATAGGGCCACTAAGAGTCTTATGTGACTCGAGGGTACTTAACAGCAATAATAGTTGAAAATCATGGCATCCTACTAGCAAGGTATTGTGCTGTCAATCCAAATGCGTAAGGTCCAAATATACTAGCTGTTCATGTGAGAAAGATGGGCAATAATCTCCTGCACAATTTACAACCTCTCAAAATACGCTGAGATTCAGCTATAAGTTGGTTCCAACTCAAAGGCACGTGACAACAGCAACAACATTGTGACTCACAACACAAACCCTTAGATTTTTGGAGGAGAGCCTTGCCACCCTCTGCAAACCACTACTGTCCTTTTCAGAAGCAGCTTTGGAATGTTAGAGGGTCTTAGAGGAGATTGAGTGCCTTTGGTCCACCAAGGCACTGTATGGCTTGAGCTGTCCCACATGAGCTGGTGATTTCTGACCCATACAGTTGTATAGCCACAGCATCACACTGTCATTAAATGGAAATGATATATACAAGATTGACCTCAAGCAGGACCTGAAGGCACAAGTTACATGAGGAAGTGGTCCAAATGCCCAGGGTCTCCACTCATCACATTACATTCTGTAAACCCAGTCAGCACCTATGGCTTCATGGGGAGTTCTTATGATCAGTTTACTGAGGAAGAGGAAACATGTGTGTCTGGTTCTGCACCACTTGGAAGTGGACAAAGAAGTACTACAGTCCCTTTCTGTTACCTCTCTGAAAGATGGTATGGAGTTTATTATTCAAAATGGGTTTCCTAGCCACAGAACTTGACTTTGCCATGTCAATGGACAAGAATATGCAAATAGGACACGTTAACTTATTCACAAGGGGATTAGATACTCCTTCCTCACCAGCAAAGAAGAAGGAAGATCAAGTAGCCTGTCCTTTGGGCCCAGAAACTCTTGTTCCAGGAGCCCCTATGTGGCATCAGCCACGGACAAACCAGAGAACAACATGAGATGGAGTTATGTTGGGACTGACACCTTCCACAGACAGAACCAGAGCTAAGCTAAGAGCTTTTGTCCAAGACTTTTAACAAATGGGGGCAAAAGTGGTCTAATATTGGCAGGACTAAGAACTTTGGAACACTGGCCTAAAGCCACAAGGCTCAAGGCTGAAGTGCCTGCAAGCACATTTTGTAAGGTGTCCTGATTGAGTGACAATATTCAGCTACTAACCTGAATTCTAGCCTTTGGCTTCCTCGGTATGATTTTGTGTGGTTTGTGAGAGCTATTTCATCAGAGTTTGAACCAAATAAAGCAGTAAGATTGATGATAAGATGAGTAAAAGGATGTATGGGAGTGTGGGAGACAAGCATGACCTCATGGAAATTGATTTCGTGCTATTTATACTGCTGATGAGGACAATTCTCTTTTGTGAAGTTGGTAAAGGCTGTCACCATGTAGCTATTCTTACAGATGGACCGTGTGAAGGAAAATCCTCCTAACAGAACTTCAAATAGTACATCTGGTTGTTTACTTTGCACGGAAAGGTAAATGATCAGATATGTGATTGTATTCTCATTTGACTCATTGGTCAGAGACTTGGACCAAGAGACAGTTATCAGAACAGAGCAAATAAACACTGTATGGTT